TGATCGATTTTGCAATTTTTGTCTCATGTGTTGGTGAGATATTTTTTATTAACGTAATGTGGTTGATTGTTTCCGCCGACTGTGGAAGTCTCGTGAAAGGTTGAAATAGTCGGTCAAAGTGAGAAGGAAAGAAATAATAATACAAAATCGGCTCCCTCGAGGACTCATCAGCGTTTTGAGTCCCTCTCTCGACTCCTTCAAAGGTTGCGAATGAAAACAGCCGTCATCTCTCTGAAGGAATCTATTGCTGCTATTTGCTATTGTTATTCATGCACGTGGCCTCAGTCTTGGCAGCTGTAGCACGCGGCGGCATAAGAACACTGGAGCGAAGTGAAATCGGTGTTGCCATTGCATGCTTCAGTGGCCCCGGATGCGCAACGACCCGTGGCGACTTTTCCTCTCGAACACCTATCAAGAAAGACGGAAAGCTTTTTTTTATCGTTGCAGTAGATTTATTTTCAGGAAAGTTATTGTATATTTTAAAAGACGTTTAGTGTGCAGTGTCCTTCAATTGGCTGCAATTGGCTTCTCGAATTTCATATTGGTGCCCTACCGAGATGTCCACTGCGAGCATTGTTGCGAGAAAAATTCGTTAAACTGCAAGGCTGCTCTCAATTTGTAACTGGATTGCTTGGTATTTTAGGCATTTTAGGTAAAAGGTATTTTAGCTTGATCTGAGAAATATATAGAAAGTTATTGAATCAAGTTCAAAATATAAAGAATTTGCCCTAGATATACTGTTATATTGATTGCCATCTGAACTAAAATTTCGCAAGTGCAAGTTCATTTTTGGCTTGCTGCAAAATTGATCGGAAATTGGATTGAAATTAAATCGACACTGTTTTTGACACCGTCGTACTCCAAATGGGAAATGAAAATGACAAGAGTGCATGGAACTGCTTGGCCTGGAGCAAATGAGAATTTTTGAATTGAAAATGTGTTGGGGCTTGTGTGACTTGAAGGAGAAAATAAAGACTGTTTTCTTGATGTAGAGCTTTTAGCATAAAGAAAAATCCAATATGTCAAGGTCAGGCCAATATCACCCCCCCCCAAAAAAAAAAAAAATTAAATAAGTAGATGAGTGTTCGAGGTGTGATACGTGGTGGAATTGGCATGAAATCTCTTCTAAAGCATGTTGCACGCACATTGAATTTTAAAGTTAGGTTCTCGTCGTTCACAATCCATAGCGAAGGTAAGCGAAGGTATTACAGTAAAAACTCTCATTTGGTGTCAGTTGAGAAGGATTTCCAGGCGCGGATGAGCTTGAACTTACTGTGACTCGAAACCATTGGGGGAATCCTCGATCAACCTCTCCACTAGGTACAACTTGCGGTCGATCGTCGAGCAGGTGTCTTCGAAGTAGTAGTTGCAGCATTCGATGGAGTGGCTGGAGCCGGTGTCTGCAAATTATTACTGCGAGGATTTCGGGGGAGCAGTTAGAGTCATCTACGGTCCGAGTTGGAAGCTGATCGTTACGGATTCCCCTCGCAAGTTGTTGACGTCTCATCGGAAGGACGCCTACACGACGATGAACTCCTTCGAAATGCCATTCACAACTCACGTGCGGACAGCATCTTCCTAATCGCATTTTTTTCAATTATCCAGGGACTTTTGGGAAGAGATTTTCCTCTTAAAATGTTTCCCTCTCGTTTCCACTTGTTTCCATCTTGCCACTCACCATTCAAGGAGAGAAAAAGCTTCTCTTTCTTTAACAAATAGGAAAAAGTAAAAATTTTCAACGCACATCTTAGAGTGGGACGCCCAGGATTGAATGAATGAATGAATGAATTAAAGAATTTTTTTAATTTAAAGTGGGGACAGTAGCGCAGCCAATGCAAGTTAAGTCCCATTTGTGATTCAGGAGTCTCCCGACAGAGCGGAGCATAGACTCGTAAAAGCATTGTGCCTTCCAAAGCATTCAGCAGATTGAAGAGTTCCGCTTAAGGACAGAGCCAAAACGAAAGAATGTCGCCGAGCCCGAAGGAAGTAGAGGCAGGCCGACCTCACCCTGGAAGATGACATTCAGGGCTCTGGACCTTACCCTGGAAGATGACCTTCAGGGCTCTGGACCTCACCCTGGAAGATGACATTCAGGGCTCTGGACCTTACCCTGGAAGATGACCTTCAGGGCTCTGGACCTCACCCTGGAAGATGACCTTCAGGGCTCTCGATCTCCTCCATGGCTTGTTGCAGGACGATCAGAGTGCCATGAAGTTGCAGCTTGAACTGTCTCGAGGATGCGAAGCATCAAGTCTAGTTAAGAGTCCCGGACAGAGTCTCTAAAGACAGAATCTCGAAAGACAGAATCTCGAAAGACAGAATCTCGAAAGACAGAATCTCGAAAGACAGAATCTCGAAAGACAGAATCTCGAAAGACAGAATCTCGAAAGACAGAATCTCGAAAGACAGAATCTCGAAAGACAGAATCTCGAAAGACAGAATCTCGAAAGACAGAATCTCGAAAGACAGAATCTCGAAAGACAGAATCTCGAAAGACAGAATCTCGAAAGACAGAATCTCGATCTCCATGTTCTCCAATTCAAGCATTTCAACTCGAAAAGGAAACTTTCCTGGATGCTCTTTATGTCATGTAATCAATTGGGCAATTTAAGTTCAAGCTTGTGGTGCTTCCCCTCGAGTGGCCGCACACTCTTTGATTCCGTGAAGCACGCGTTTGACTCCAACTTGTGTAGGACGAATTGGATGATCGTGCTTCTTGCGGCTTTCTCTGATTCCCTCGCTCTCTTGAATCGCTCTTCCCTTGCATCCCGACTAACAATTTGTTATGCCGATATACAGATTATGAATAACTATGAAGTGATATTTTCCGTTATTTTGTATTTAATTTTAGCAAACGGCAAATAAAAGAAGCAAGGAGGCTAGAAATTCAGTGCATATGACCCCCTTTTGGCCCAGGCTCAAAAATGCCAACCTACCTCGAAACCGTTTCGATGTAACGACTTGGGGTCCATTGGCATTTGTGAGATGAAATGACTTCGCGCAAATTAAAAGGAAAGAAAGGCGTATTCTCGTCAGTCAAAAGGAAAAGATTTGAAATCTTGTGAAATAAGTATCCAAAAAAATCCACTCCTAAACAATATGGATGCTGGTTCCTCATTCGACGAGCGGAATTCTACGCTCGAACGCTCGTTTTTCCTGCCGTATTTAGGAAGAGAGCAAATGAATTGAAACACGCTTCAACATTTTCACTTAAGTACACCAAGAAGAAAGAGGGTTTCTCTGGGGAAGTGACTCGTCGAAACAACCATTTCAAATTGAGACCAAATCAATCGCCTCTGGTCAGCGCATGGTAATTGATCCGCTATGAAGCCATTGGAATATAAACCTTAGGAAATTTAGCATAATTTTGAATATATATTCCAAAATGATCGATTTTGCAATTTTTGTCTCATGTGTTGGTGAGACATTTTTTATTAACGAACTGTGGTTGATTGTTTCCCCCGACTGTGGAAGTCTCGTGAAAGGTTGAAATAGTTGGTCAAAGTGAGAAGGAAAGAAATAAGTAAAAGATATCGGCTCCCTCGAGGACTCGTCAGCGTTTTGGGTCCCTCAATCGACTCCTTCAAAGGTTGCGAATAAAAACAGTCGTCATCTCTCTGAAGGAATCTATTGCTGCTATTTGCTATTGCAATTCATGCACGGTGCACGTGGCCTCAGTCTTGGCAGCTGTAGCACGCGGCGGCATAGGAACACTGGAGCGAAGTGAAATCGGTGTCGCCATTGCATGCTTCAGTGGCCCCGGATGCGCAGCGACCCGTGGCGACTTTTCCTCTCGAACACCTACCAAGAAAGACGAAGAGCATGTTTATTTTATCGCTGCAGTAGATTTACTTTCAGGAAGGTTACTGTATATTTTAGAAGACGGTTAGCGTGCAGTGTCCTTTAATTGGCTGCAATTGGTTTCTTCTCGAATTTTATTTTGAAACCCCACGGAGATGTCCACTACGAGCATTTCGCTAGCAAAATTCGTGAAACTGCAAGGCAGCTCTCAAGCTTCAACTGGATTCCTTCGAATCGATGCAATGGGGATCTCTTCGCGACGAGTTATGAATCATTTTGGGGAAACCTGCGCACGAATTAGGATATCGAATAGAAACGCTCTTCCTGTCGTTCGCCGTGGACTCGCATCCCCATGAAGGTCAATATCTATAATCAATCATGGATATTTTCCGTCGAAAACCGTTCTCACATACTTTTCAGATCAATACTTCCGTCCAAATATTCCATGAAATTGAATATTAATTTCCAAGCTTTTCTAAGGACGAATCTGCCAAAATGTTCCGGAAATTATGGCACGAGAATCTGTAAGCATTTGGAGATGTGCCACACCATTTACGGGACAAGAGTGCGAGTTACTGCAAGTAAAAAGGTCTTTTAGCTTGATCTTAGAAATATATGGAAAAGTTATTATTAAAATGTTAAAAAAAACGCTGAATCATGTTCAAAATATGAAGAATTTTCCCTAGATATACTGTTATATTGATAGGCATGTGAACTAAAACTTCGCAAATGCAAGTTCTTTTATAGTTTGCTGCAAAATTGACCTGAAATTGGATTGAAATTAAGTCCACTCTGTTTAGACACCGTCGTACTCCAAATGGGAAATGAAAATGACAAGAGAGCATGGAACCGATTTGCCTGGAGCAAACGATAATTTTTTAATTAAAAAGTGTGGGGGCTTGGGTGACTTGAAGGAGAAAAAAATGTTTTCTTGATGTGGAGCATTTAGCATGAATAAAAATCCAATATGTCAAGGTCAGGCCAATATCAAAAAAAAAATTAATTAAGTAGATGAGTGTTCAAAGTGTGGTACGTGAATTGGCATAAAATCTCCTCTAAAGCATGTTGCACAAATGCTGAATTTTAAAGGTAGGTTCTCGTCGTTGACAATCCACAGCGAAGTTAAGCGAAGGTAATACAGTGAAAACTTTCATCAGATGACAGTTGAGAAGGATTTCCAGGCGCGGATGAGCTTGAACTTACTGTGATTCGAAACCATTGGGGGAATCCTCGATCATCCTCTCCACTTGGTACAACTTGCGGTCGATCGTGGAGCAGGTGTCTTCGAAGTAGTAGTTGCAGCATTCGATGGAGTGGCTGGAGCCGGTGCAGCTGGTGCCGGACACGGAGCCGCAGACGCCTTGCAGGAACTGGTTGTAGTCGCAATCCAGGGTCGTTCCGGCGCCGCCGGTCTTCTCTTTGCACGTGTCGGACGTGAGGGTCCCTTCCTCCACCTGGCAGCACTCGATCTTCGTGGCGACGTCGGTGTCGATGCCGCAGTCGCTGCTCGTTCCGTCGCCCGCTCCGCAGGTGTAGAACACCATCTGTCGCGGAACGTCCGATGAGTCTTGGATTTGCTCAGAGGTGAAGGGACTTTTGGCTTTTCCAGTTCATTATAAGCAGAGCAGTGATTAGGAATAGTCCGAAAAGCTGAGGGATCGACCCTATCCCTCATTGGCGAAGCGACCTAAATCTCAATTTTAAGTTTATAATTAACGACTTTTTTATTGCTGATGTACTGCTGTCCTCAACTATCACTTCAATCAATACAAGTCTTTTATGCTTTTTGATATCGGAAAGTTTGAAAGACAAGCTTGCACTGACAAGAAAAGGTTCCTTTCAAGACATCCACCTGACAGGTGGATTTGGAACCAGGTGAATGTCCCCTTATGCCTATTTCCACCTGATGGTGAGACATCCACCCGAACTTTTAAGACTTAAAACATCCACCTGGCTCAACATTCACCTCCTATCCACCAAGTCGTTCAACCAGATGGATGCAGGTCGACTTTTCGTTCGGCGAATTTCTCTCATTCCGCCTGAAAGAAGAAAAATCGTCAGCGCAAAAGTGAGGAAAGGGAGAGGACCTCGTCCGCGTTGCACGACAAGATCGATCCCGCGGCTCCCTCCAGCGTCCGGCAGTTCGTGGGAGTGAAGCCCTGGCATCGACCGAGGGAGAGTAGGACGATCGCGATCGCCGCCGCGATTCTGGGAAGGCACTTCTGGCGAATGAAAAAAAAATGGTGAAACTCACGACGGTGCATCAGATGAGCGTCGGAGGGTAGAACCACGAAGATCTTGTCGGAAAAAGATTTAAAAGAAAATTAATTTCCAGGAATCGCTTGTTGCGGTTCCTCAGGATCTGAGCGAAGGATTTCCAGAACGAACTTATTCTAGAAAAGGCAAGCTCCGCTATCCAACTTATTGGTCGATGCACTCACCGTTGCCATGATTTCCATGGAAGAGCTTGTGTCTGATGGAGAAGAACTTCTCTTCGGACTATGCAATCAGATAGTTGACGCCGGTTTTGCTATCTACGTGGGAGCCAGAACACGTGTCCTTGCTTCCATAGATTATGCGGAAACTGGAAATTGAGAAATGGGACACCAACAGGATATCTCAAGGAATGATTCACCAGGAAAACAGAAACAACAGATAAGGGGAAAAAAAGTAAGCTGGAAATTTTCTGCCTTCACTCTAAAGGCGTCTAGAACGAAGTTTCTTGCTGATTGTGTCAGGTGACGAAACTTTGATTGACGGGTGGACGTCCGGATTGAAGCGTCCATTGAGTGGCAGGCGAATGAAGGAGGACTCCAGGTGGAAGCGCAGTGTGGACTGCGGGTCGCATGCAGCGACGTTCCTGACTCTCGATCCAAGGACTTTCAAGGTCAAGGTCTTCCAAGCGTGGACCAAAGCTGCCATGCGATGCCGGTCGAGAGGTTCGGCCGTCTCATCAGCTGACGCCAATGAGCTTTCTTCAAGTTTTTCCGAGTCCATCTTGCCATTTATATTTATACACGTATATAACTTCATATTTAACTTCATATTTCATTATTTTCTTCCCAATGTCACCTTTCCGTCTTGGCCCGGCGATGCAAAGGGGAGATGGAAAAGGGGTGAAAGCTTCGTAAAAGTAAATTAATTAATTAAATATAAAAGCGATAAGAAAAGATATGGGAAACATAAGAAAAAAGGCTTTCAGCAAATATTGAAAAGGGGTTAAAGGTAGTTTTAAAAAATCAAACAATACTTTAAAAAGTGGAAATGAATTACAGGGATCACGGGATATTACATTGAATCACAAATAAAAGCCTAACCTAAAAATAAGGTGGTACAAGGAAATTGTTAGATGGAATTCACGTAAATTTCAAAGTCGTTGAATTTCAATTTAACGTGAATGAGTCACTCGAAAATTCGCGAGACCTCGCGAAGGCACTGAGTATTTCAGACGCCCGCGAGAAATTACCCTCTCCAGAGACTTTCGCGATCGATTCTCCCTGGAAGAATGCGAGGGATTCGGCTTCAGCGTCTCTTCAGCGTCTCTGTAGCGTCTCTTCAGCGTCTCTGTAGCGTCTCCTCAGCGTTCCGGCCTCAACGGCCCCGAGATTAAATCAAATTTGACAGGCAGAAGGAAAATACCATGAGAAAGCTGGAATATCTTACGCCTCGACTTCAAATTACGGTCAGAAGAAAGGCCTTTGAAATTTTGCACCAAGGTGAAAAATTGGCCTACATTATGCGAAAGGTAACTTTTTGCCTTTCCCTTAAATTTAAATGGTTGCTTCAATGAAAATTAAAATAAAGCGAAACATTGTAGCAGTCAACGGATTCAATTAGCATTTACATTCGCGGAAACCCTTATACTACGGAACTGCCAGTAGTTCTTTTCCCTGCCGGTGCAAATATACATTTTTCATTGTCAATATATTTTTCGTTCAGGAGAAACCCATTCATTCAGCCGAATACGGATCAGCGGATTGTTCGACTCCCGAAAGAAGGCAGAACACTTACGAGTATTTATACCAGGGTGCAAAAATTTCGACCGAGTTTATGACCGTACTGTCTTTAGATGGTATCTTCCGTGACCTTTATCCGAAATAGTTTCTGGATGTACAAAAGTTGAATTAAAAAAATTCCAGAACTCTAACCGTAACGTCTCAACTGTCAAGAAAAGGCCCACATTTGGTATGAATTATTCTCTAGGTTGGAAAGTTCCAAGTCCAACCTACGATTGGAACGCATTCTTTTTCTTAACGTTGAGACGCCGAGGTCGAAAAGTTGGACCCTCTGGATGATGCAGTTATCACGGTTTTTTATTTTTCCTGTGTCCGGAACGGTTTTTAACACTTAACTTTCGCTCTCGGGTTTCAAACCTATGATTCCCGCCGTGTTTGCAAATTATTACTGCGAGAATTTCGGGGGAGCAGTCAGAGTCATCTACGGTCCGAGTTGGAAGCTGATCGTTTCGGATTCCCCTCGCAAGTTGTTGACGTCTCATCGGAAGGACGCCTACACGACGATGAACTCCTTCGAAATGCCATTCACAACTCACGTGCGGACAGCATCTTCCTAATCGCATTTTTTTCAATTATCCAGGGACTTTTGGGAAGAGATTTTCCTCTTAAAATGTTTCCCTCTCGTTTCCACTTGTTTCCATCTTGCCACTCACCATTCAAGGAGAGAAAAAGCTTCTCTTTCTTTAACAAATAGGAAAAAGTAAAAATTTTCAACGCACATCTTAGAGTGGGACGCCCAGGATTGAATGAATGAATGAATGAATTAAAGAATTTTTTTAATTTAAAGTGGGGACAGTAGCGCAGCCAATGCAAGTTAAGTCCCATTTGTGATTCAGGAGTCTCCCGACAGAGCGGAGCATAGACTCGTAAAAGCATTGTGCCTTCCAAAGCATTCAGCAGATTGAAGAGTTCCGCTTAAGGACAGAGCCAAAACGAAAGAATGTCGCCGAGCCCGAAGGAAGTAGAGGCAGGCCGACCTCACCCTGGAAGATGACATTCAGGGCTCTGGACCTTACCCTGGAAGATGACCTTCAGGGCTCTGGACCTCACCCTGGAAGATGACATTCAGGGCTCTGGACCTTACCCTGGAAGATGACCTTCAGGGCTCTGGACCTCACCCTGGAAGATGACCTTCAGGGCTCTCGATCTCCTCCATGGCTTGTTGCAGGACGATCAGAGTGCCATGAAGTTGCAGCTTGAACTGTCTCGAGGATGCGAAGCATCAAGTCTAGTTAAGAGTCCCGGACAGAGTCTCTAAAGACAGAATCTCGAAAGACAGAATCTCGAAAGACAGAATCTCGAAAGACAGAATCTCGAAAGACAGAATCTCGAAAGACAGAATCTCGAAAGACAGAATCTCGAAAGACAGAATCTCGAAAGACAGAATCTCGAATGGACGGAATCTCGATCTCCATGTTCTCCAATTCAAGCATTTCAACTCGAAAAAAAAACTTTTTTGGATGCTCTTTATTATCAGTCATGTAATTGGGCTATTTAAGTTCAAGCTTGTGGTGGTTCCACTTGAGTGGCCGCACACTCTTTGATTCCGTGAAGCACGCGTTTGACTCCAACTTGTGTTGGACGAACTGGATGATCGAGATACAGATTATGAATAACTATGAAGTGGTATTTTCCGTTATTTTGTATTTAATTTTAGCAAACGGCAACTAAAAGAAGCAAGGAGGCTAGAAATTCATTGCATGTGACCACCTTTTGGCCCAGGCTCAAAAATGCCAACCTACCTCGAAACCGTTTCGATTTAACGACTTGGGGTCCATTGGCATTTGTGAGATGAAATGACTTCGCGCAAATTAAAAGGAAAGAAAGGCGTATTCTCGTCAGGCAAAAGGAAAAGATTTGAAATCTTTTAAAATAAGTAACCAAAAAAATCCACTCCTAAACAATATGGATGCTGGTTCGACGAGCGGAATTCTACGCTCGAACGCTCGTTTTTCCTGCCGTATTTAGGAAGAGAGCAAGGAATTGAAACACGCTTCAACATTTTCACTTAAGTACACCAAGAAGAAAGAGGGTTTCTCTGGGGAAGTGACTCGTCGAAACAACCATTTCAAATTGAGACCAAATCAATCGCCTCTGGTCAGCCGCATGGTAATTGATCCGCTATGAAGCCATTGGAATATAAACCGTAGGAAATTGAGCATAATTTTGAATATATATTCCAAAATGATCGATTTTGCAATTTTTGTCTCATGTGTTGGTGAGCCATTTTTTATTAACCTACTGTGGTTGATTGTTTCCCCCGACTGTGGAAGTCTCGTGAAAGGTTGAAATAGTCGATCAAAGCGAGAAGAAAGAGATAATACAGAAAAATCGGCTCCCTCGAGGACTCGTCAGCGTCTTGGGTCCCTCTCTCGACTCCTTCAAAGGTTGCGAATAAAAACAGTCGTCATCTTCCTGAAGGAATCTATTGTTGCAATTTGCTATTGCTATTCATGCACGGTGCACGAGGCCTCAGTCTTGGCAGCTGTAGCACGCGGCGGCATAGGAACACTGGAGCAAAGTGAAATCGGTGTTGCCATTGCATGCTTCAGTGGCCCCGGATGCGCAACGACCCGTGGCGACTTTTCCTCTCGAACACCTACCAAGAAAGACGGAGAGCATGTTTATTTTATCGCTGCAGTAGATTTACTTTCAGGAAGGTTACTGTATATTTTAGAAGACGGTTAGCGTGCAGTGTCCTTTAATTGGCTGCAATTGGTTTCTTTTCGAATTTTATTTTGAAACCCCAAGGAGATGTCCACTGCGAGCATTGTCGCTAGCAAAATTCGTGAAACCGCAAGGCAGCTCTCAAGCTTCAACTGGATTCCTTCGAATTGATACAATGGGGATCTCTTCGCGACGACTTATGAATCATTTTGGGGAAACCTGCCCACGAATTAGGATATCGAATAGAAACGCTCTTCCTGTCGTTCGCCGTGGACTCGCATCCCCATGAAGGTCAATATCTATAATCAATCATCGATATTTTCCGTCGAAACCGTTCTCACATACTTTTCAGATCAATACTTCCGTCCAAATATTCCATGAAATTGAATATTAATTTCCACGCTTTTCGGAGGACGAATCCGCCAAAATGTTCCGGAAATTATGGCACGAGATTCTGTAAGCATTTGGAGATGTGCCACACTATTTGCGGTACAAAAGTGCGAGTTACTGCAAGTAAAAAGGTCTTTTAGCTTGATCTTAGAAATATATAGAAAAGTTATTATTAAAATGTTAAAAAATCGCTGAATCATGTTCAAAATATGAAGAATTTTCCCTAGATATACTGTTTTATTGATAGGCATGTGAAATGAAACTTCGCAAATGCAAGTTCCTTTTTGCTTTGCTGCAAAATTGATCGGAAATTGGATTGAAATTAAGTCCACACTGTTTAGACACCGTCGTACTCCAAATGGGAAATGAAAATGACAAGAGTGCATGGAGCCGAATTGCCAGGAGCAAACGAGAATTTTTTAATTGAAAAAGTGTTGGGGCTTGCGTGACTTGAAGGAGAAAAAAATGTTTTCTTGGTATGGAGCTTTTAGCATGAAGAAAAATCCAATATGTCAAGGTCAGGCTAATATCCAAAAAAAAATTAATTAAGTAGATGAGGGTTCAAAGTGTGATATGTGAATTGCATAAAATCTCCTCTAAAGCATGTTGCACATATGCTGAATTTTAAAGGTAGGTTCTCGTCGTTCTCAATCCACAGCGAAGGTATGCGAAGGTATTACAGTAAAAACTCTCATCAGGTGTCAGTTGAGAAGGATTTCCTGGCGCGAATGAGCTTACTGTGATTCGAAACCATTGGGGGAATCCTCGATCATCCTCTCCACTTGGTACAACTTGTGGTCGGTCGTCGAGCAGGTGTCTTTGAAGTAGTAGTTGCAGCATCCGATGGAGTGGCTGGAGCCGGTGCAGCTGGTGCCGGACACGGAGCCGCAGACGCCTTGCAGGAACTGGTTGTAGTCGCAATCCAGGGTCGTTCCGGCGTCGCCGGTCTTCTCTTTGCACGTGTCGGACGTGAGGGTCCCTTCCTCCACCTGGCAGCACTCGATCTTCGTGGCGACGTCGGTGTCGATGCCGCAGTCGCTGCTCGTTCCGTCGCCCGCTCCGCAGGTGTAGAACACCATCTGTCGCGGAACGTTCGATGAGTCCATTTAAATTGCTCATTTAAATTAAAGTGACCTCAACAATCACTTTCATCATTGCTAGTGCTTTGTGGTTTTAGATATCGGAAAGTTTGAGAGAAAAGTTTGCGCCGACAGGACGAGATTTCGTACAAAACAGCAACCTGACAGGTGGATTTGGAACCAGGTGGATGTCCCCCCCCCCATGCATATTTCCATATGATGGAGAGATATCCACCCGGACTCTAAATCATGAAATATCCACCTGGCTCCACATTCACCTCCCATCCACCAAGTCCTTCATGCAGATGGACCCAGGTTCGGGATTGCACGACTTCCCTCATTCCGCCTGAAAGAACCTTCGTTAGAGGAAAAGAAGGGAGAGGAAAAGAAGGGAGAGGACCTCGTCCTCGTTGCACGCCAAGATCGATCCCGCGGCTCCCTCCAGCGTCCGGCAGTTCCTGGGGGTGAAACCCTGGCATCGGGCGAGGGAGAGTAGGACGATCGCGATCGCCGCCGCGATTCTGGGAAGGCACTTCTGGCGAATGCAAAAAAAATGTAAAAATCACGACGGCACATCATATGAGCGTCGGAGCGTAGAACCGTGAAGATCTCGTCGGAAAACAAATTGCTTTTAACCTTATGTTAAAAATATTAATTTCCAGGAATCGATCCTTGCAGTTCCTCGGGATACAACCAACAAATTTCTAGTGCAAACTTATTCGAGAAAAGGCCAGCTCCGCTATCCTACTTATTGGTCGATTCACTCACCGTTGCCATGATTTCCACGGAAGACCCTGTGTCAGATGGAGAAGAACTTCTCTTCGGACGGTGAAATCAGATAGTTGAGGCTGATATTGCTATCTGCGTGGGAGCCAGAACACGTGTCCTTGTTTCCATAGATTATGAGGTACCTGGAAATTGAGAAATAGGACACCAACAGGATATCCCATGGATTTCCTGTTGGTGTCCAGGATGATTCACCAGGTTTCCACATGGAAAATTTAAATAACAGATAAGGGGAAAAAAATTATGGAAATTTTCCTGTTTCATCCAAAAGTCGTCTGGAACGAGAGTTTCTTGCAGATTGTGGCAGGCGAATGAAGGAGGACTCCAGGTGGAGCGCAGGATGGACTGAGGGTCACACGTTGGTGACTCTTGATCCGAGGACTTCCAAGGTCGAGGTCAAGGTCTTGCAAGCATGGACCAAGCCGCTATGTGATGCCGGTCGAGGGCTTCGACCGGCCTCATTCCCGCCGAAAATCGGGCGAGAATGCATCCCGACCGAATGGGATGAGAACGGGTCTCTCATCCCATTCGCGAGAATGGGTCTCTCGTCCCATTCGCGAGAACGTGGTCCTATCGCCTCTCTGTTGAAACTCGGTCGATTTCACTTCATATTTCGTACTTTTTTCCAATGCAACTTTCCCGGATGGAAGTCTTGGAGCGGCGATTCAATGGAGAAGGGGGTGAAAGCTTGGGAAAAGTCATTAATTAAATAATTAATGATCGGTAAAAAAATATGAAAATTTGAGAAAACAGTTGTAAATAAAAATTTAAAAGGGATTTTAAAGGCAGTTAAAGCAAATCAAATAATAAAGTGGAAAACGTGGAAAATGATGCTGGGGTAACAAACGAAAATGGAGTGGAACATGCAAGAAAATTTCTAGTTTGGTTTCAGGTAAATTTCAAACTCGTTAAATGTTAATGTTAACGTGAATGAATCTCGCGAATTCTCGCGAGACCTCGCGAATACACCGAACATTTCAGACGACAGCGAGAAACTACCCTAGATGAATGCGAGGGATTCGGTTTCAGCGTTTCTTCAGCGTCTCTTCAGCGTTTCGCCCTCAACCGTCTCGAAATCAAATTTAACAGACAGTAGGAAAATATCGAGAGAAAAAAAAATTTTTTTTTTCAATCTTTTTTTCATTCATAAGGGGAAATAATGGATCAGCGGATTGTACGACACTCCCAAAAGAAGGTAGGGCACTTGGGAGTATGTATTAAAATTATATTAAAATTTCGACCGAGATTAAGACACTACCGTCCATGTTGCAATCTTTCGTGTTCTTTAATCCGAAATAATTTATGCAGAGAAGATGATGAATGGATTATGGAAGGGATTGAGGAAGGTGTGAAAGTCGGGGGGAAGCTGTTGAAGGATATACGGTTTGCAGATGACCAAGGTATGGTGGCGAGCACAGAACAAGGACTTCAGAAGTTGATGGATGGGTTAAACGCGGTGGCCAAGAAGTTTGATATGAAGATCAATGGGAAGAAGACAAAGGTGATGAAGACGTCTAGGAAAGGAGGAGGAATAATTAGCATTGTGATTGACGGCCGGAAAGTGGAACAGGTGAATAAGTTTAAGTACTTAGGAGCTTTGATCACAGATGAAATGGGAAGAAGACAAAGGTGATGAAGATGTCTAGGAAAGGAGGAGGAATAATTAACAATGTGATTGACGGCCAGAAAGTGGAACAGGTGAAAAAGTTTAAGTACTTAAGAGCTTTAATCACAGATGATGGAAAGTGTGCGGTGGAGATCAGAACAAGAATAGGAATGGAAAGGATGCTTTTAGCAAGAGAAAGGAGTTATTAACCAAGAGGATGAACCAAGAGGTAAAGAAAAAGATAGTGAAGAAGTGTGGAGTGTGGGTTTATAAGGGTCCGAAGCATGGACTTTGAGGAAGGAAGACATCAGAAGTTTAGAGGCTTTTGAAATGTGGGTGTGGAGAAGGAGAGAATGACATGGATACATCGAAGAACAAATGAAGAAGTAATGGAAGTTGTTGGGGAAAAAAGAGGACTAATGGAAATGATTGCGAAAAGAAAGAAGAACTGGATTGGACACATTCTACATGGATTGTTGAAGGAAGTGATAGAAGGAAGAATGGAAAGGAAAATACCTAGAGGAAGGAAAAGAATTGGCATGCTGGAGGAACTGAAGGAAGAGTCGTTTGTGAAAATGAAGAGAACGACGGAGAACAAATTGGAATGGAGGAGATGGATGCCTGGGACCTGCCAATAGGCAGAATACGTAAGAAGAAGAAGAATCCGAAATAGTTCCTCGATGTGCTAAAGTGGAAAAAAAAAGTTCTAGAACTCTAACCGCAACGTCTCAACATTAAAAAAAAAATAGAATTTGCACATATGGCTTGAATTATTCTCTATTTCGGAAAGTTCCAAGTCCTGATTAGAATGCGTTCTGTTCTAGGAGACGCCGAGGTCGAGAAGTTGGATCCTCTGGATGATGCAGGGCGGGCGGCCTTCGAGGGCGGTTCCGTTGCCAACGAGGAGAAGCAGTCAACAGGTTTTTTTATTTTCCCGTGTCCGCGATGGTTTTCAACACGAAGAGACCTTTGCTCTCGGGTTTCAAACCTCTGATTCCCGCCGTGGCAGCAGATTGTTATCGCGAAAATTTCCGGGAGCAGTCAGAGTCATCTACGTTTCGTGTTGGAAACTGATGGTTCTCCCCCGAGATGTCGCGCGGAAAGCAACCACATCCTAACCGCATCCTTTCGCACTTCTCCAGGGACTTTTGGGAACAGGCTTCCCCTGCGTTGACTAGGAAGAGATTTTCTCTTAAAATTTTCCCTCTCGTTTCCACATTTTTCTCGTCTTGCCACTCACCATTCAAGGAGAGAAAAGCTTCTCTTTTTTTAAATATTTGGAAAAAGTAAAAGTTTTCATCTCATGAACGACCAGGAATGAATGAATTAAGTAATTGAAGTGGTTTTTATTTGAGCGGGGACAGTAGTGCAGGCAATGCAAATTAAGTCCCATTCGTCTATTAAGAGAGAAGGGCATGCCCCGGGGACTCAAATCCTGATTCAGGAGTCTCCCGACAGAGCGGAGCATAGACTCGTAAAAGCATTGTGCATTGAAGATTTCCGCTTCAGGACAGAGCCAAAACCAAAGAATGGCGCCGAGCCCGAAGGAAGGAAAGGCAGGCCGACCTCACCCTGGAAGACGACCTTGAGGCCTCCGGATCTCCTCCGTGTGTCAGGGCGATGGTCAGAGAGGAGTGCCATGAGGGTGCAGTCAGCCCTAATGAAAACTCACCAACGCCGATCGTGGGAGATTGAACTGTCCCGAGCGAAGCATCAATACTTATTAAAGGCCTATTAAACAATCGCTTTAGTATTACTTGACCATTNCCAAGAGGTAAAGAAAAAGATAGTGAAGAAGTGTGGAGTGTGGGTTTATAAGGGTCCGAAGCATGGACTTTGAGGAAGGAAGACATCAGAAGTTTAGAGGCTTTTGAAATGTGGGTGTGGAGAAGGAGAGAATGACATGGATACATCGAAGAACAAATGAAGAAGTAATGGAAGTTGTTGGGGAAAAAAGAGGACTAATGGAAATGATTGCGAAAAGAAAGAAGAACTGGATTGGACACATTCTACATGGATTGTTGAAGGAAGTGATAGAAGGAAGAATGGAAAGGAAAATACCTAGAGGAAGGAAAAGAATTGGCATGCTGGAGGAACTGAAGGAAGAGTCGTTTGTGAAAATGAAGAGAACGACGGAGAACAAATTGGAATGGAGGAGATGGATGCCTGGGACCTGCCAATAGGCAGAATACGTAAGAAGAAGAAGAATCCGAAATAGTTCCTCGATGTGCTAAAGTGGAAAAAAAAAGTTCTAGAACTCTAACCGCAACGTCTCAACATTAAAAAAAAAATAGAATTTGCACATATGGTTTGAATTATTCTCTATTCCGGAAAGTTCCAAGTCCTGATTAGAATGCGTTCTGTTCTAGGAGACGCCGAGGTCGAGAAGTTGGATCCTCTGGATGATGCAGGGCGGGCGGCCTTCGAGGGCGGTTCCGTTGCCAACGAGGAGAAGCAGTCAACAGGTTTTTTTATTTTCCCGTGTCCGCGATGGTTTTCAACACGAAGAGACCTTTGCTCTCGGGTTTCAAACCTCTGATTCCCGCCGTGGCAGCAGATTGTTATCGCGAAAATTTCCGGGAGCAGTCAGAGTCATCTACGTTTCGTGTTGGAAACTGATGGTTCTCCCCCGAGATGTCGCGCGGAAAGCAACCACATCCTAACCGCATCCTTTCGCACTTCTCCAGGGACTTTTGGGAACAGGCTTCCCCTGCGTTGACTAGGAAGAGATTTTCTCTTAAAATTTTCCCTCTCGTTTCCACATTTTTCTCGTCTTGCCACTCACCATTCAAGGAGAGAAAAGCTTCTCTTTTTTTAAATATTTGGAAAAAGTAAAAGTTTTCATCTCATGAACGACCAGGAATGAATGAATTAAGTAATTGAAGTGGTTTTTATTTGAGCGGGGACAGTAGTGCAGGCAATGCAAATTAAGTCCCATTCGTCTATTAAGAGAGAAGGGCATGCCCCGGGGACTCAAATCCTGATTCAGGAGTCTCCCGACAGAGCGGAGCATAGACTCGTAAAAGCATTGTGCATTGAAGATTTCCGCTTCAGGACAGAGCCAAAACCAAAGAATGGCGCCGAGCCCGAAGGAAGGAAAGGCAGGCCGACCTCACCCTGGAAGACGACCTTGAGGCCTCCGGATCTCCTCCGTGTGTCAGGGCGATGGTCAGAGAGGAGTGCCATGAGGGTGCAGTCAGCCCTAATGAAAACTCACCAACGCCGATCGTGGGAGATTGAACTGTCCCGAGCGAAGCATCAATACTTATTAAAGGCCTATTAAACAATCGCTTTAGTATTACTTGACCATTGGATGATTACGCTCCAGAAGTGAGTCTGAAAGACCCGCTACCAATCTGCGCTCCAGTGACGGAACCAAAACGAAGCGGAACGGGTTCGTTTCCCGATAACCTTTTTTTCTCGCAAAAGGTGTCGAAAGGGACCGAGAAAGTGAGATGCAGCTGTTTTCGCACGAGATCGTCACCGACGATCCACCACGACTCATCGGAATGACAAAACTCAAAAA